TCTTTTCAGGACCTTCACAAATGCCACCACACCTATCAACCACATCCCCGGCAAGGGCGGCATCTCTAGCTCTCCTCTTCCTGTGAAATCCTGAGCATTTTTCTTTTGTGGGTCCCAACTTCTGTAGAAAGGTCATCCCTGATGTGGTGGCATGGATCCAAGATAAACTTTTACGAAACCATTGGAACAGAAAACTAGTACCTCTGTGTTAAAGATGTGGAAAGTCTTGAAAAGAACTTGAAGAGAAACAATATAGCACCAAACCACAGTCAATCTTGTGAAGTAATGAACAAAACAGATCTTAAAGAAAGGATATCACTTTCAGTAAAGTTTCCACTGATCAAAATAATGGGAGGAGGGGGAAAAGGAACAGAAGAAACCACAAATAAAGGAAATAAAGATCACGAAAAAGCACGTCAGAAGCCTTACCAGCAAAATGGATAGTAGGGATTTTGCTTATTAGAACCCTCCCTGACTGGTGCTGATCTGTCACATAGGCCATCTGGATCATGTGCTCCTGACGCCAGCGGAATTCCTAGCCAGCTGTCTGATCCGCATGTATACCCGAAGTAGAGACTAGAACTAGAAGAAATCTTTCAATAATAAATGTAGACAATATTTCTGCTTATGAAGATATTATTTATTTGTAATGCATTACTGAACAGTTTCTTGGAAAGGCTGAGAGGTTGTTCTCCCCTCCTCAGAGTCAGGCCTTTTCTTAGACTTCAGGAAAATGCAAGAGATCGAAGAAGTAGGCAGAGTGAAGCCAGTAAATTGAATTCTGGGTTAGAAAGTGCACACTTAATACCTAAAGAAACTCTTCAGTTACTGGCCCTGAATCTATCCCAAGGGAAGGTCCTGCCTTAGTTGAAAAGAGCCTGTCATTATTAATGGAATTTTTCTAGTTAGACTTCTTCACTGCTGCCATATGCACTACCGTGGTACGCATGGCCATCTATCATGTCCGCGCTGAAGGTGCTCAGTTCCCCGGGAAGCCTGCCCTTCCTTCAGTGGCTTTTGATAATTACACAGTTTGTCCTTTGGAGACAGGTCTGAACTAAGCCCAGCACCACAGCTGAGACTGTAGGAAGTCTCAAACTCCTGACGTTGGCCTGTATCTTGGGCTCCTCCATCTCCTGGAACCTGCCCCACTTCCAAGAAGAGCAATTAAGGAACGCCACGGGACTACGTAGTCCCATGTAGCACTCTTCTTGGTTTAAACTAACTTTGATGTAGTATAAAATTAATGGCACTTCTCTTGTCCCATCTTTTCAGTTTTCCTCTCTGCAGAATTCTTAAAACTTTTAGAAGTCACTTTTCTGAGTTCATCTTCTAGCCACTTCTTCGTATTCCTTATGTACTATGGTCAGCGACAGGTAATGGGACTGCACCAGACACACATGTAACTTCACACGTTCAGCTCTCCAGAGAGCAAGGGAATGTGCAATTTCAGTAGCAGCTGACTCCATTCGACGTTCCTCTTGGGATGGGATGAGATGGGATGGATGGGAGATGTATCCTTCCTTCCCATCCATCTCATTTCCTACCAGCCTCTCAGGTAGGACGAGCCTCCCCCATGCTGTGTGCTCTTTTTATGCAGAAAACCATGTTAGACGACAGGCCAGCCACTTCACACAGGTGAAGAAACAGTGGTTTGTTCTGATGCTGAAAATACGTGTATATTGGATTTATTGAGAGGTCGTTTGTCAATCTCAAATAGACCTCTCTTCGGGGAGTTGAAGAGTAATTTTGACCATGCAATTTCTGCCTGGTGGATTGCCACTTAACTACCTTCTGACTTTAATAGCAAATTGCTGTTAACGTCTAAGTTCTGAATATGTTGTGGTTGGTCCTTCTTCTATAGTTTGTTTAGCAGTCCTATTCCACACTGAATCAGAGTCACCGAGTCCCCAGACTTAATATTTCAGTAGATAGATAGGCTTATGGTGAATGCAAAGATGGTTGGTATTTCTAAGTAAAAATACCAATACTAATAAAAGTTAATGTTTATCTAGCCATTAATATAATCCCAGACACTGCACTAAGATTCACCATCTCATTTAATCCTTAATAACCTAATGAGGTGTCTTGATGTTAAAGCAGTGACTGACTTAGACAAGCAAGGGAACACGTACATACCTTCCTGTGTAACTATTTCCCAAAACACAGGTGCTCCCAGGAAAGCAGCAAAGAATTATTGCAGAAGGAGGCCAGCAAGTACAAATTAACATACAGGCCCTAAACAAGCTGTGGTTCAAAAGTTCTCATTTAGGAGTGGGTTGTCCAGAAGCTGAAATATATTTTCCCAGGGAAATGATGTTATCACAACAAAAGCCTCTTTACCCCTGGTGTGCCTGAAGTAGTAAAAACACAGACCCAAACCATTTTGCGTACCAGCATTTTCATGGAAAAACTCACTCTCCTCTTGAACAGCTGCTGGACACATTTCTCCGCCGCTGGGAAAATGGGGAGCCTATGCTAGAAACAGCAGAATCATTAGCAATGTTTGAAGTCAGAATCAGAGGTGGCTCCCAAGGCCTCTGATGGGAATGGATGGAGAGAGGAGGATGGAAGAGTGACCGAAGCTGGGGACAAGGGGGACAGTCATAGGGGCAGGAGATGTTGGGAGAGGAACAGGAGGAAACCCATGAAGGTGAAGGGTGGGTAAGAATTCCAGAGAAGAGACAAGAGGAGAAAGAGTTTGAGGATCCTGAACTAATGAGTTGTAAACATGTAAGAGCTCTGCTCATCCCTCCGGTAGATCCCTGTTCCCCACTTCTTCTTCTACTGACTCCAGTGTTTTGCCTGCCTGTCTCCCTTTCACAATTTAATTCCTCTGTGATCCTGAGACCAGCCCTGTGGCTTTTCTAGACTTCGCTGCCCCTAATGTGGTCGAGCGGCCCTAAGGTTTGTGATTTTTTTGGATGGTTTTTAATTTCTATGGAGGAAAGAACCCATCCCAGGCTCCAGAACTTTTCCTTTTTCACTTGGACCTGGAAGAGCCAATATTAGCTATAGATGCTTTGGGTAGTTCTTTGGGTCCATAAAGGGCTGAAATAAAATGCATAAGCATTTCAGGGGTAGCTGTCCAAGGCTGAGGCTCATGGGAAAAGGGAGAAGCCCTCTGTTCCTTTCTTTCCTTTTTTTTGTCTCCAGTTTCCTTGTCCTCCAAAGGCGAGTGGAAAGGAGTGGGTAGGGCCTAGACCACACCTTGCTGGAGGGGAAGGGTGCAAGACAGCGCCATCCTTGCATCGCTGCTGGGGTGTTCTTTCGAGGGGCGTGTCTCTGTTGAGGGCGTAGGGACCACCTGATCACCTGAGCATCTGCCAGGGTCTCTAAGTGCTCTTGTACCACCTTCCCCTTACCCGCAAGTCAACGTTTCCCTTACTTCTCTGGCGATAGAAATTGGACGACTGTGGAGCTAGGAAAAGCCTCAGTTCGCAGGCTTTATCCCAGACCCACTGAGTCAGTATCTCCAAGGGAAGGGCCTGGAAAGCTCTATGATGAATAAGTGATCCCAGGTGGTTCCTGTCAAGGACATTTGGCAGACACTTCTTGCCTACCCCTCTACCTTGCTTGTTTTTAAATGCTCATAGGACATTCTAAACCTCTGTCTCAGATTCATTATACGTATATGCTGTTTCTTCTCCATGGAAAGCTCTTACCTGTTCCCTACTCTTGGCCAATCCCTATTTCTCATAACTTCATAACTCGGCTAAAATGTGATTTTTTTCAGACCATCCTTGACCACTCTCATCGCCATCTGCATCAGATTCCCTTGTTTCATCCTCTTAAATCACCTTGTGCTTTTACTCCCTGGCAGTTATCACAGAGTTTGTACCTTGTGTATTTGCCTAATACCTACCTCCTCACTAGTACCAAGCACAGTACTCCAGAAGTATTTTTTGCATGGATGAACAAATGGAAAACTAGTGCTCGGAGAAGGGTTTCACAGGTTGGATTGAACGCTGCTCGACAAATAACAAACTGAGCATAGGAAAATTTGAATCTTCCAAGGTAAAATTTGCACACATCAACTGAAGGCAAAGTAGACGGGTCTAACCGGTAATTTGTATTTAGGGGACAATGGATCAGATTATTTTTTAAATACTTAATAAATACCTAATGTGTGCAAAATGCAGTATTAGGAGCTATGGAGGCAACAGTGAATAAGGCGGATACAATCTCTTGTCTTTGTGGAGCTTTTTAGTGAGGATGACAGGAATTAAGCAACCAGTTACACGGTCTCATAATTTTGTAAATGCAATGAGAGAAAGACAAATCTATAAGAGCCTGTTGTAGGGAGACCTGGCATGGCCTGTAAGCGAGTCAGAATTTCTAAGACATGTGGCTGGGGAATCTGGGCCCAGAGCATGCGGTACCCTGCGTCCTGTGTCTTGTCAGAGTTGGCGTGAGGGCAGGTGCTTCTGTATAATGGCTTCTCAGCCGCAGCGCTGCAGACATCTTGGGCCTTGTGGACAACTTCCAGTATGCCGTAGGAAATACTTAGCTCCATTCCTGGCTCACCCCACCAGAGGCCAGTAGACTCCACAGCTGTGACACCCCCAAATGTGTCAACACTGCCAAATGTCCCTTGTGGAAGGGCAGGAGTCAGGGCAAACTCTGTCCGTCCTTTGTACCTCAGTCGAGAACCACTGGCCTGCTTGAAACTTGGTTTTTTAAAAAATGCCTCACCTCGTGATTTATCCAGGTCAATGCTGGGAACAGCACTTATTCCTCAATAAACGCGTTTGCTGAGTGCCTCTTAGGCACCAGGCGCTGTGCGAGGCACCGGAGACACAGCCATGGTCACGGCCCTATGCTTTCTGGAAACTACGTTCCAGGGGAGGGAGCGAGGCAATACATTTTCATGTTTCAGAAGAAGGGAGAGGTTGGTCCTAGAGGTCTTTTCGGAGAAGACGACAAGGCAGAGCCCCCAGAGGGCGGGGATTTGAGCTCACCCTCCCATCTGCTGTCTGACCGACCTGCTTGTGTTTCAGGGGCTCCTCCATGGAAGGGCAGCTGAACGGACTCCAGGGCAGCCTGAATGCTGCGGCCTTTGCGCCCATCACCGGCCCCACAGGTCAGTGGGCACAGCCATGGAGGCCGGGATGATGGGGTGGGAGCCACCCTGGGCGTGTTCTCACTTGTGCCTCAGAAGAAACGTGCAGTTCAAAGAATGAAGGAGCATCCGGCCTTTTGAAGCATTGCAAATGGCGCTTGAGGATGGAATGGTTTTCCAGAACTAGTTCGGGGTAGACGACGTTTCTTGGTCCGGGAGAGTGTAATGGGATTTGCAGCATTTAGTAGAAAGGGCTGTGTCTGACTGGTGTTCCTCCCCGTTCATCTCAGATCCCCACCCGTAGTAGCTTCCACTGGCTCCTCCGCACACTCGAGCCCTCCTCTTTGGTCGGGGGCCTGTCACACTAGTGTGATGGCCTGTTGGTCCATTGCCAGATACTTACTGAGGTCTTAAAGCCTCTCAGTGTAGGGACCCACCTAAAAGGCAGCATCGGCCCAGGGAGAGTTTTCTAGGAGTACTAATTTGTAAAAAACATGCTGATAAGTAATCAGGAAACCAAAAGAAAATCGCGTGGATTCCCTTCCACAAATATTTCTTACTGAGCGCCTCCCGTGGAGAAAGACGCTGGGCACTGAGGGACACAGAGGGTGAACCAGGCAGACCCTGCGGCCAGGGACCCTACAGACTCAGGGAGAGAGGAGAGTCAGCAGGGAGTGGGAACAGGCTGGGTGGTTCTCAGGGCCTGGGGATGTGTAGAATAATCATAGGCAGCAGCAGCTGAACATCTGGTGTGTTCGACGCAGTTCTGAATGCTTTACACATGATAACTCATTTGTTCGCCAAACAGGCATAGAGCAGTAACTGTGTTGCCCATTTCACAGCTGAAGAAATAAAGGCACAGATTATGAAACACATCCCAAAATAGCTAGTAAATGGCAGGGCCGTCTTGGAAGCCTAGCGACTTGGCCTGGGTTCTTTAGGGATTAGAGTTGATGTTTCTTCTAGAGGAAGAAACATTTAAGTGGAGGGTTGCACGCTGACAAGTCCCCCCAAGAGAGGGGAGGCGTGGGGCTGAAAGAGTTCCAGGAAGAGAGAATAAGGCCTGCACAAATGAGGGTCGGGGTAGGGGGTGCAAATGCACAGTGTCCTGGGAGCCCTCCTGTGTCACCGTGGCTAGGGACTGAGAGCTTGGGCAGAGAGCAGCAGGAGAACAGGTCATGGCGATAGCAGGGCCGATTTGTGAGCCATGTAGGGAACTTGGTCCCGAGTGCAAGAAGCAGCCATCGAGGAGTCTAGGGCCGGGATGTGGAGGGTGTGTGTGGCACATAGTAGACATTCAAATGATTATACGACCACCGTATCATGGGGATAATTCCATATATGTCATGGGCTTCCTGTGGACCTAAAGGACAAAATATATAGACAAAAGCTTTATAACGACACCCATTTGGGTAATAATATAAGAGTATAAAGATTTTGCTCTCCACTGAAAATCTTGAACCTGAATTCAAGAAATATTTAATGGGTATCTACTTGCTCTTCCCCTCCCCCCAAAAAGAATCGCTAGAATACGGTAGTTATTTTTAAGGAAGTAAAATTTCCCCCTGGAACTGTTACGGCCTGGGAACTGGGTGGCTGGGAGAATTTTGCACAACAAACAGCTGAGTATCTCTACCCAGCTAACTGCTGCAGCCGGGGAGGGTTGCAAAGCGTAGGAGAGGCAGGAAACGTGCCTGCCACATTTGTATGTCCAACTGATGTGTCACATGCAGACTTGAACTCTCTGCGTGCGCTCTGGCTGGGGAGTCGGAAGTTCGAGGGCTCATACTCTCAGCATCTCATCATGAATTCATATTTCCTGACTGAAGTGATCTGTTAAGGATTTTGTAACAGTCGTAATGAACTCGGTAGCCGCATAAAGCCACAGAGCAAAGAGAAGTTGTGTGTCTCCCTGGATCCCGATACCTAGTTTTTCCCTGTTTCTGTCTGAAGACAAGTGCATTATTCTTGTCACCTTGTTTAGGCTGCCTGCTCTTTACTGCTTTTGTCTCCAATGACTCTGGACCTCTAAAGTGCCTTGAATTTGTTTCCGTTCTGTGCCTTTCCTGGTGTTCCTGATCCTCAGTTAAAGAAACACTGATGAACATGGTATTTTCAATCCTTCCCAATCAATATTTTGCCTTGGCAGTACAAGGGCAGCTTACCCCATTAGAGTTACTTTTGCAGCTAGTCAGGAACTACTTGGCACTTTAGGGTTTCAACTACAAAGCATGTGTTTTTCTCTATGACACAGAGATTTAAAGATGTTCTTCTAGGGGTTCAGAAGGGTGTCCTACAAAAACGAGGGTAGGTTGGTATCAGCAACATTTTTCTTTAAACCCATAAGAAGGGAGAGCAACCCCCACAGTAAGTCAAAGTTGACATGTCTCTCAGAGATGGGACGTTTCTGCCCCAACAGGAAGCACCACACTGACTCGGACAGGTATTTAAGCCCCTGTCTAGTCCGGTTAACTCAGCTGGTTAAACATGGTATTATCGACAGCATGAATATAGCAGAAGTCTGTTTCCTGGCCCCTTGACCCTCTACAAGTCTAGCCAACCAGGCCTTAAAGCTGTGTCACTTTGTTCGTCGGGCACCTGAATGAGATAACTCGTTCAGCCCAGCACACTGTTGAAAAACAACTCAGAATCCTTTCCCCCTGAAGGTGACCTAGCAACGGTGTTCTTCTAATTGTGAACATTAAATGAGGTAGTGGGTGTGAGGCTGCTAGCAGAAGGCCTGGAATGCTCCACGAATGTTACTTTTTCCTTGACTTCCCTCCTTCAAGCTAAACATTCTGAGTTTGCTATGGAAGGAAAGGTGTAGAGTCAGCAAATTGGGAAACTTGAGAAGGAAGGCTAGAGTGAGGGCCTTTGGCTCAAAGCCAAAGCCATTGGCCTTCGTTCTTTATAAGCATGGTGTTCTTGAGTTCTGAAGTGGAGATGGTGAACCAAAATAGCAGGGAGCCACAGATTAGATAACTGGCATTTCTCTCGTGCTGGCTTGATAGTGTAAACCACCATTCTTGTAGGGTCTGAGGTTGTACCAGCTGCCCTCATCCCTGGCCTTAGCTTCTGCCTACGCCTTTTCTGTCCTGGAGCCCAACCTCTGCCCACCTCCCACCCCAATTTTTTGTTGTTGTTGTTTAAAGCTCTTACGGGTCTGTAGTTGGTAGAGGGATTCTTACTGCCTTTTGAACACCAGTGTTGGATTTCATTTACAAGAAGTGAGAAACAATGTCCTTGTTAAGTGTTGGTAATTTGGGGCCTCAGTAAAACACAGGTTAGCTTTATCCTCTTTCTTTGCATGGGGGTGGGGCAACAGGACATCAGTGTGACTCCGGCTGCCCACTTCACCATCTCCCCTAAGACAAGAGAAAGGGACTTATTTTAATACAGAGTAAACCCAGTGGAGCGTAAACTCTAAGGATCTAGAAGTCACTTTAACTTTGAAGCGAAATCATTTGCCTGGCAGTTCTCAGCTGAATGACCTATTTTTATTATTAGATTCTTATGCCTTTCACCAAGCGTTATATAGTTGTCATGGATCCTGGATGGATCTGGAGTATAGTAGATTAATAATGAAAATAAATAAACCTCTTGAGATGCTTGCCCTAGCGGCTTATATTCTTTATTGCTCCCAGAATGTTCTTTTCTCCCTGGAGCCAGAGGAGTAAGAATTTGGGTTGATTACCCACTCTAACAGTGTTAGAAAGCAAGGGGCACAGATTTGGTGTTTGGCAAGAAACTCAGTGTCAGCATCTGGGCAGTGATCCCCTAAAACCTAGATTTGGTTTTTGTTTGTTTGTTTATTTTCCTACAATACACATAGCTGTTTATTTTCTCCGTTTTTTATGTTCGATGTATTTCTCAACCTTCTCTTTCCTTCTTGGGTCCTTCTGTCACCCGCCACCTGATGCTATATTCTGGGCAGTTTTCCAGGCCTGGTGTCCCTTGCTATTCTTCTCTCTGGTTGTTGTCCTATCCTAAGACTAGTTTTAGATTTGACCTCTTGTCCTTTCACCAAGATCAAATAAAGTGTTAAGTAGGGATTTTTTTTTACATTTTTCAGGATCTTTGGAAGCTCCCCAAGTTATTTTCGCCAGATCCAAACCCTTGCCCACACAATCTGGAGCTCTTGCTACAGTTATAGGACAGAGAAAATCAAAGTCGGTGAAGTCAGGGCCAATTTAAGGTAACAGTAAGAATAAGAGCATATTTTTTTTATGATAACTTGCTGACTTTATATCACAGCAAGAGGCTTAATAGCTATCAAGAGAAGTGACAATTTCTCAGAATGACAAAGAAATTTTGATTTTATAAAACCAGAACTCAGAAGGACTCCAAACTGTGAGTCAAAGTTAAGCTACTGCTAGCGTGCTTCTGCGATGGCCCACCAGTAGGTGGCGCTGTGGCAGTAAGAAATTTCCTTACTATTATGGAGGCTTTTGTTTAAAAATATGGGGACATGAAGCCAATCAAAAGAAGAAACTAAAGCCATAATCGAGTTATCACAGGTAAAGAGTAACAGAATACATTAGAGAACATGGTATTTGAAGGTCAAATTGAAATAGCCTCTAAAGAGAATGAATATTGTTAAAGATATTTATTATTAAAGAAGGCTGTTAGATTAGAGTTGTGTAGTTTGTGAACTGGACTTCCAAGTAATGGGAGGCAGGAAGGAACACAACTTTGAAAAAAGGTTTTTTTGGTGAGGTTGATTAATGTGCTTTTTTCTGAGTTAAGATAAGCATATGCTGTCATTGGCAGCAAAACAAACTGTAAACCCCGTCCATAAAAATCTCCAACATTAAAGGGATGGCCTGACTTGAGCTCGTGAGGCTATACTCACACCACTAGCACTGCCCCACAGTGTTTTGTTCCCAGCCCCTGGCCTTCAAAACTTTCAGAAAATTCTATGAAACCACAAGGTTGTGATGATTCCTTTCCTCTTTGCTCTACCGTACACACTAAAGTATTAAAGGCATACTGCTAGAAGCTTAATACCCTTCTTACCTCTAGGGGAATACTTACAGACTTATTTGAGAAGCATTATTCATCAAAATACCCCAGGAGAGCAAAGGAGGGAGGAAAATTATTTACCCACCACAGGATTCATTTACATTGGATCAGAAAGCTTCAAATATCTTTCCCCAGCCCATCTAAACTCTTTCCAAAAAGGAATGAGAAGAGAGAAAGGAACACCAAATCCATGGCTTGGTCATCTACCAAAATGTACCAATGAAACTGAAAACAACCAGAGTTCTCTTGGTAATACTTTGCCAATGATCCTTTAATTCTGATATGAAGCAGCCTATCCAGGGATGAACAACTAACAAAATATAGAAAACTAAAGCGAGAAGGTCCATATTTCCTTGAGGAGACTGGCAGCCAAAAGAATGAATGTGACACCAAGCTCCAAACTAAACCACTGGCCTGCCAAAAAGTACTAATGTCCATCAGTTTCCAGGACTGTGAGACTTGGACCTGCCACAGTTGTAATATCACTTTCCTTGAACCTATTTCATTAGTATCTCTTACAATCCACCCAGAACATTGCATGGCAAAATAAGATCATCCGCAGAAAAGCCTTGGGAAAGAGCCCATCTCTCGACACGTCAGTCCGTTGCAAGCAGCCCTGCGGCACTGAGCTGCGCACAAGCTAGGGGTGGGTGATGCTGTACTTCGTGATGAGCTGCGGTGGTGAGACCTCGTGCCGAGTGTGTATGGACTCAGAAAACAGAGTGGGTCAGAGCGACACTGAAGGACCGGCTTCCCATGGTGCAGCAGAACTGCTGGGAGGTCCCAGAGGCAGCCCACTGCCACCTGCCAGCTGCCACCTGCCAGGCCAAATAAGAGAAACAGGTAGTTTACCACGTGAAGCGGGGAGAACCCAGAGTCCACCTGGTTGCTTGCTTTCTCCTTGTTGTGAATGCGGTGTAGGCAGATCACTGCTTGGCAGATGTCCCTTCAACCGCAGTCACAAAGGAATGTCATCACCAGCTCTAACAGTCCTAGAACCCCTTCCTGTATGGGTTTAGGGAGGCAGGAAGGAGATGAGAAGATTGAAGTGTGTTTGCATAGCTTGTTATCGAAGACTGAGAAAACGTCAGTTGTCCTTATCGAAGAACGAGGGAGCCACACCGAAGGATACCGGGGACTGAGACTCTCGAAGACACCCACTTTGTTGTCTCAGGCAAGGGCCATATTTAAATACATGCGTGATCTTGTGTCTTCTTAGGTTCTGTGTCCTCTGTTTGGCATCTCTTCGTCACAGAGCCAGTTAACTGTGTTTTCTGTATTCTTGATGCTTTTGCATTTGGGGCCTTATGGAGCCAGGGGGAGCCTGCCTCTCCCACGGCTAGCTGATTCTGAAAAATCCTATCAGCTTGCCCACAGGTATGCCTTTCAGACAGAAACCAGCTAATCCCAAGTTTATATACCCAACCACCTCCTTATCTAACCCTCACATGGAAAACCCACATTTCCCTTGCCCCAGATCACTCCAGGGCCAGCTTCCAGGCAGCTGGAGACCACCGCTATAGCCCATAGGCCACCAGAATTACTAAAACAAGCCAGTCTTAAGCTGTTTACTCTGCCCTGCCTTGCCTTTTCCAGGGAAATCCCAAATAAGGCTCTGGCCTAGACTTTCTCCTCACTCCTGTCTTCCATCTCTGGACCACACTGGTGTTTTCCCCTGTGAGGCATGTAGGGACCCTCTCTCTGGGACCCTGAGTATAATCAACTTCCTGCCAGGCCTTGTTCTCATCGCCTCCATAGCCACACTGACTGGACCATACCATACTCAACTTGTACATTCTTAGAACACGCGGCAATGGAGAGAATATCTTTAATATGTCTAGCAGGGAACACAGGGAAAAATCTGAATCAATTAGGTTTATATGACCAAGTTCTAAGCAACTGGTCACAGCAGTCACTTCATTCTGGGCTGTATTCTACAAATGATGTTTTAACAGTATGTGTGGTGCTAGCCGCAGTCTGGCCGCAGCCACACAAGAAGGATGTGAATCCCTTTACGTGGCCAAATCACCTGGCTGTCAGCCATTGAAATTTCATGCTTTCCTGTCCCGAGGCCTCTTTCTTTTCATTTAGTAACTTTCTACGTTCAGAAACAAACTCAAGCCTAGCAGAACAACCTGGTTGGAAGTGGGGCAGGAGACAACTTGGCTTTCAGTTCAGAGGAAGTAGGGGGATACCTCTAAGATCCCACCCAAAAGGGGGTTCATTTTCCTTAAAGAAAACCAAGGAACTCTATTTCTGAAATGGATTAAGAAGTGGACCACGGAGAGAGATAACATCAGAAAATTGATATTGTCTCTTGCTGAGCTGGCGAACTCCCAAGAGAGGAGTGATGATTCTTCCATTGTTAACAATTACTACTTTGTTATAAAGAGACGTGGAAAGTGCAGTGGCCCCTTTCTCAAATTACGTTCATGTTACAGAAGCACACACACCCACTGGAAAAAAAAAAAAAGTTGCTTGGCACCCTGGGTGGTTAGACTTGTGCCTACCACCCTAGCTTGTAGCGCGTTCCTATTGTCCTGTGTGATATCCATTCACTTTGGGTGGAAATGGATCCTGTTTATTCTTGTATTCCTGAACTGGGCAGGTAACCAGCATAACATTGCCTTACTTTGTGAGCTTTTATACTTATCACTACAAGTTATCAGTCTATACTCTGGATGTGTGGAACCCACACATCTTGCTGCCGGTTTCAAAGAAATGCTTGTTATAGGCACATACCTTTGCTTTACCATCCTTATAACCTCGGGTCATAATTGCTCCTCAAAGTTCTAAAGAAAGAAAATGGCATGCTAGGCCATGCCTGTCTTTGGAAAAAGCAAGTTTTGTACATGGAAATATTTACATCTCTGCTTGCCTGATCTGTAAAATTTACTGGGCCCCAGAGTGTGTGGGTGGGTAACTGTAGGGCGTGGAGAATGGTGGCTTGAAGTCTATTTCTCCATTAACATTGATTGCCATTGACATTTATTCTCTCAAATTATAATTATAAAGGAAAAGACTGGGCCTCTCTTGTCCTCAGAACGAAGAGCATCGCTAGGGAACATAAAACAATAGTCTCTTATACTTCTTTGTGTACTCCTCTTTCGAACATGCCAGCATTTCCATTCAGGACTCCTGTAGGTATCAGGAGCCTTCTTCTATTGAAACCTAAGGCCAGGTTAAGTAGTTACCTGCCAGGGGCACCTGGGTGGCTCAGTCATTAAGCGTCTGCCTTTGGCTCAGGTCATGATCCCAGAGGTCTGGGATCGAGTCCCATATAGGGCTCCCTACTCAGCGGGGAGCCTGCTTCTCCTTCCCCAGCTCCCCTGTACTTGTGTTCCCTCTCTTGCTATCTCTTTCTGTCATAAATAAATAAAAAAATCTTTAAAAAAAAAAGTAGTTACCTGCCCCCAGAGAGGAACAACTTGAATGTACAGCATGTCTCCTTAGCCGTGTGGGTAAAACACAGCATGTATCCCCAGTACAAAAGGAGGATGTAACCTGGGAAACCAACCTGGTTGTAAGACAGTGAAGTGAATGGAAAGGTCAACTGGTTCGAAGTTGGTATTTTAATGTTATTTCTTTGTTTATGGTTATCAGGTTAAAAAAAGAAAGAGAGAGAGAAAGAAAGAAAGAAAGAAAGAAAGAAAGAAAGAAATCCCTCCTTTTTACATTCAATTGGACCAAAAGGTGACAGAGGAGTTTCTTCTCCTCCCATCCACCTCTCCTCTGCTTCCCAGGGAAATTAAGACATGTTTGTTCCTGGGATGAACCCAAATGAAGATGTTTTAGAATTTAACAAGTGTTTTGGTTTTTTGGTTGTTGTTTTTTTTTTTTATAACTTCTTATGGCTGAACTGCAAAATAATATTGGGTAATAAATTGCTTGCCGTTACTTGGGTTTTGGAACATGGCATCTTGAAAATGCAGCTCTTTTTTAGAAATAGGACTCCGGGGCGCCGGGGTGGCTCAGTGGTTAAGCCTCTGCCTTCGGCTCAGGTCATGATCTCAGGGTCCTGGGATCGAGTCCCGCATCGGGCTCTCTGCTCAGCAGGGAGCCTGCTTCCCCCTCTCTCTGCCTTCCTCTCTGCCTACTTATGATCTCTGTAAAGTAAATAAATAAAATCTTAAAAAAAAAAAAAGAAAGAAAGAAATAGGACTTCTCTCAGCC